CGCGCGCTTATAGACCGATCGACTTTTGTCAGAAAGGCGGCCGTTCGTAGCAGAGGTTTGCATGGTAGCCTTTATCTGGATGCCGTCCCACGGGACAACCTCGCACTTTTGGGATCATTCGCCCCTGAGCTCTTAGAGGCTGGCATACTCGAGGTCAGCGAGGGCGCACTCAGAGAAAGTGATATGTTTTGTTGTGAGAAACAAGTCAGGCGCACTCCGCCTGATCTGGGATAACAGCTCGCGGGCTTTAACTGCTTTCAAGGGCCCACCAGGGTCAGTGATTCCATCGGGTGAGGCGCTTGCCCATCTTGAGCGTCAGCTTTGCGACGTGCCTGTGCTGCGCGGCGGGGATGTCTGCCACCGCCTGCTCGTGCTCCCCGAACAGTATTTACATATATACATACGTATATCTGTATATATATGTATGTATATATATATATATACATATATATATATATATATATATATAGATACATATATATACATGTATATATATATAGATATATATCCCAGGGTGCCGCCCACTCCCACGGCGCACCTCCCCGCGCCCCCCGTCGCCTCGCTGCCGGTCTCGGTTCCCGGGAGTGCCCGGGCCCGCCCCAGGCAGGGCTCGAGTGGTGTTGATGGGGTGGGAATTGGGCAGCGGCTCTTGTTCAGGCTGTCAATAACTTTCAGCTCGGCAGCGTCTCCCCCCGATGCCCACTTTGATTCTAAACAGGGCTCCCCTCCCGCCTTTGGGCGACGTCGGATCGCTCCGCGGATTGCATATCGACAACTTCGTCTGCCTGGCCAGACAGGTGTCGACGGCCTCGGGGGCTGTCTTAGGCGCGCAGTCAAAGCCGAGCGACCGCGTGATCGCTTCTTCCCTGGAGGCGCTGGAGCTGGGGGGCCACGACTTCATCGGGTTTGCTCTCTTTGGGCCAAGAGTCTTTGGGGTCCATGGGGACTGGCAGCCCGAAGGTGGGCCGCCTCTGGAAGGTCAAGCTTGCGACCGACTATATCACGGGGCCCCCTGTTAGCATCGCAGGTCAGCAGCTCGGGCGTTTCGCGGGCCACGTGGTGGCCCTGGTCTCCCTCGCCCCTGAGCTCCCATGCTTGATGGAGACAGGGAGTGCGTTTTTATCCACGAGAGCCACTCGCGTCAGCAGCCTCCTCGGCCTGCGGTCGCACGGGAGGTTCGCTGGGTGCTTGCTCTCCTTCCTCTTGCTTGCTCATGTATGCCCGTAGACACGTTGACGGCGATGTAGGTAACGGCGATGTAGGTTTCGGTATTATGGGAACGCGCGGCTCGTGCATTCCTAGAACTCGCTGTGCCGTTTTCGTTCGATACATTTGCATATTCGAAGTGTAGGACAGTGTGGATCGCGATTTCCTAAAATTTCGTTCCCAACATCACCGTTGAGCAACATCACCGTTCGCGTGGCTTGGCATGCGGCGTTCTTGCACGGGGCGCGCGTTCGGCTACGACGCCCCCCATCCAGGGTTTCGGCGTCGGCCGCGCTGCGGCCCCGCAGACGTCGCCGCCGCGGGGCGCGGGCGCGAACGAGATTTGCCTCGGGGGCATTTCAGAGTTGACGGGCCCCGCGGCTCTGGGCTCTGGATCATCAAGAGCTGCAGTGGATTTGAGAGGCCTCCGAGGTCGTTATTCCTGAGCTGGGTCGCCTGTCGGTGTTTCGCTGAGGTGCCCGCCGTCGTTCTCGAACGCGCGTGGAATCTTGCCAATGCTGGTCGATGAAAAGGAGTACCTGGATCGCAGGCGCAGCTCGAGGCCCGTGCTCGGACGTGGGCTGTTCGTCAGATCGCCAGAGCTTGTAGCCTGCATGGCTCTCGGGCGCTCCCGTTGGGATGCATCGCGTTTGCGACGTGTGCCCGCGAGCGGCAGGCCGCCCGCCCCCGCCATGAACTTCCGGCGTCGGGCGCCCGCTGCTTTTGCCTCAGCCGCTGGGCCCAAGCTCGCGAACAGGTGGGCCCCGTCGGGGCTGAACGCGCTGGGCGCGGCCAGTCGTGTCCACCAGCCGCGGCGCGGTGGCGAGGCGGCGCGCGAGGTCCACATCTGCCGCCGGCCCCCTGCCTGCAGCGCGTCCGCGGTCCGAGGCCCCCTTCCGACCGCGACGGCGCGGGCGGTGCGGGCCAGGCTCCCCCCAGCAACCAGTTCTCCAGCGGTCGACCCCGCGGTCGCGGCGGGGGCAGCGGGCGGGGCGCCCCTGGGGCCTTCCTGCTCATCCGCCCTGGCGGGTCGCGGCGGGCTGCCCCCGTCGGGGTCGCTCTGGCCGCGTGGCCCACCGAGCCTCGACCCGCAGCCGCGCGGCGCCGCTGCGCGCAGCGGTCTAAGGCGCGGCCGCGGCGGCCGGCACCCAGGCGGGCCACCCTCCAGCAGGAGCGCGTGGGCGAAGCAGGGCTGCCGCGACGTGCTGGAGCAGTTGTGGCCGATCGTTTTGGACGGCGGCCGCGTTCCGCCCGGTCGGGGCCGCATTGGGGGCGGGCGCGCGCCCCATCATGC